AAAAAAAAAAAAAAAAAAGAGAAATGCTATGTCTGGATCTGTTCATATAAAAGCTTGTGTTCACTGTAGGTAGAAATCTGCAAATCTCTGCCTTGATTACTGTGTAGTATATCAAATATAAAATACAATACTGGATATTATGACATTTTCTGAAACAAACTCGTAGTGGTACACTAAACATTACAGATTGGAATAAATAGGTCACCTTGTGTCATTACAAATTAGTAAAGCTTGAGTTGTTGGCAATGTGTCAAGTTTTCCTTTCAGTTTCCCCAGAGCACAGCAAATAAATTCTAACAATTTCATAAGATGAATGAAAAATAATGTAACTCAACATGTAAACGCAGAGAACTAGAACTATCAAAAATAATGCAATCATTAAGTATACTATTTTACACCTTAAAAGGATACACATCTTTCATTTGTTCAATAGTTGGAGCTCTGATAATGTCATTGATTCCAATAATATTCTCATGTCTGAAGCGCAGGAGGATTTTGATCTCTCGCAGAGTTCTCTGACAATATGTCTGATGCTCAAAAGGGCTGATTTTCTTTATAGCTACTCGAACTTTGTTGATGTTATCATAGGCAGAACTGGAAGAAGAATTCATAGTATTAAGTTGTATAGAATATTAAATCCACTTAGTCCATAAAGCAATAGTAAGAACTCTGCAGACTCTATGGACTGCAAATCCCTTTTAATGTTCATGAGCACAGGATGTCAAGATGACATGCATTGTAATTTTTCAACCATCACTTAGCTATACAGGCAGTCCCCGGGTTACATGGATCCGACTTACATCAGATCCCTACTTACAAACGGGGTGAGGCAACCCCGCACTAGCTGCTTCCCCCCAGCAGACCAGGGAGATGCGAAGCTAGTGCCCCCCACAGCAGACCAGGGAGATGGAGCGGCTTCTCAGCAGATCTCAGCTTGAGAATAAAGGACTGACGGAAATGAAGTGTGGAAGAATAAAACTGAGCTCTGGAGAAATGTTTGGCTAGAGTTTCTCCTACAATATATATTAGTTCCGACTTGCATACAAATTCAACCTAAGAACAAACCTAAAGTCCCTATCTTGTACGTAACCCGGGGACTGCCTGTATTGCAGCAACTGTTAGTTAAATTTGAGTTAAATTTGGGTTCTCTCACCAGAATATATGCATTATTCTCAAGTATTTAAAAGACCAGGAAGTATCTAATTTAGTGTTTATTTTATTTGTGAGCATAAAGACCTTATTGAAAAACAGTCAGTCAAGAGGGAACTTTGCATGTAGTTCTGATCATGAAAAGACCGATGGCAATTCTCTTGAAGCAGTCAAGAAGTTGAATCTATGCTGTGACACCCATGTTCTCACGCCCACAAGCCTCTTTCATTGATCAAAATGTTCAGTTTTCCAGAGAAATACAGCTATCATTGAAGGTCTTGGTTATAGGAGAGAGATGTTTTTACATGCAGGAAAGTACAATCCCAAACAAGGCTCTGGGTAGAAGAAAAAAAACTTGAATTGTACTTCATCCAATGGAAAGCCAGACCATGAAGCAAATAACCCAAGTAATATGTTCAGTGTTGCTAAGCAGATAAAGTTATATAAATACAACAGCCTGAGCTGCAAGAGTATCTACACCCCTATTCTTTTTTGAAATATCCAATATCTACAAATCACGCTTTATATATTGAGATGACAAAAAAGTAGCCTCAGTGTAAACTTTATTTTCTAACTCAAAGATATATATTAATGAACTTCAGGAGGCTTTCTAAGCTCCCATAACTAAAAATGACAGAATAGAAGTATCTTGTTAGTCATTTTTGTGAAGAAAGTGTGATTAAGGGGACATTCACTCAATTTGGTCAAAAAATTAATTTTGCAAAAGTCTGAAAACCCTTGAGACAAATATAAATAGTTTCACAGTAGGTTTGTTTATTCCAATTAAACAAGGGATAAAAATTGTGTATTAAATCAGAGAGTCTAAAATTTTAGGCTACTCAAATCAATAGGCCCAAAAAAGTTTAATTAAAAAATTGCTTGAGGTTCTCATCAGTAGGCCCACTCTGCGGAAAAGCCTGAATCTCTTGATTAGATTCAGAGTAGAGCTACATGGAAGAGATGCTGAGGAGAAAGATCCTCAAAAAAGGAATTCTTAAAAATGGTCAGCTATTTGAACCATTCTCCTACCCCACAAGAGAACTTGTGCCTCCCACCTATCCATTTCAGACACTTTGCTTCCTCTCAAACAAATCAAACTGTTTTAAAATACTTGATTACCAGTGTTAGGCAACTGAAGTTGCTTAAATATAACATTTTCCAATTATAAAATACACACAGTTCATACCATTCTTTAACAGTACAGGCAGTCCCCGGGTTATGTACAAGATAGGGACTGTAGGTTTGTTCTTAAGTGGAATTTGTATGTAAGTCAGAACTGGTACATATTTTAGAGGAAACTCTAGCCAAGCATTTCTCCAGAGCTCAGTTTTATTCTCCCACACCTCACTTCCCTCGGTCCTTTATTCTCAAGCTGAGGTGTCTGCTGAGAAAAGCCACTCCGCGTCTCC